CAGGTGCCGGGGGGGGCTGCCCGCCCCGCACCCCCAGCCCCAGGCTGGCCATGGGGCGGCGTTGATGGCCCTCACGATGCAGCGCTGCAGTGCCGAAAGCGCTTTGCACGCTGGTGGTGGGATGGTGGGAGCAGGCGCCGGCCCCTCTTTGCCCCGGCGGCGGGCAGGAGCTGGCGTTTGGCAGGGGAGCGTGGCCAGGTGGCAGCCCCAAACCCAGCCAGACTAGCCCAGTGGGGTGCATCGCCCAGGGCCGGCCACCATTCCAGCTGTCTGTCAGCAGGAACCACAGACCCGAGGGGCTCGGCGTGCTCCGGGAACCCTTGGCGAGAGGTGGAAGCAGTCCCCCAAACCAGCTGCTTGCCAGGGCATCCCTCATCCCTTAGGCCTGGCCTGGCTGCAGCCGCCCTCCCACCTCATGACCCACATCCCACATCTCCGTTGCCACGGGGAGAGGTGCATCTCCACAGCGCTCAGAGAGTGCAGCCACAGAGCCCCACAGCTGGCCACAGCTGTGCAGAGACAGTGAATTAGGGATGGGAACAAAGTCGCCTTCCAGCCCCAGACAATTTGCTTAGGGTCTGTTGAAAACTTCCACTTGTTTGGTCCATGTTGCTGTTCCTGGTTGGATTTTATATTCTTGAGCTGTAGGGATTGAAGTGTCCTTTCCCAAGGTATGAATAACAACGCGATGGGATTGTAAAGAGTTTAGCCTGTTGTGGTAACCTGTTTGTTAGTGCTAGTAAAGCCAGGCATAAGAAGAGAGAATTAATCTCTTTCATTTGTTTAAAGAGGCCAGTTTTTTGTAAAGACAAGGAAACACAATGACTCCAAACAACATCTCAATATTTGCTCATTTCCTAAAAGTCTGATGAAGTCAGCCTAAAACCCAACTCTCTGACCTGGCAGCTGACCTGAGTTTATCTATGAGTTTATTTATGTGTACCACTCAAGTTTTGTAAGGGCAGAAGACACAACTTCTACTTTACCTAAAGATCAGATCCTGCACTGAGTCTGGGAACTTAGGTCTAAAGAATTTTTTTGTTTGCGTTTCTCAATGATGTTTTCTTGTATCCCAGCAGTATCATCTCACAGATGTGTGATACAGTCACGAAAAGTACACTTAGAGGTGGGATGTGTCTCTGAATAAACAAGCTGGGATGCTGTTCCCTGTGTCTGAAAGAATAAATCCATAACTATCAGTCTTGCTGTAGCGTGTCAAAGGCTACCTGAAGAAGCCCCTGACATGAAAAAGGAAATGCAACATGGTTATGCAAAGAGTACCTGGTGGAGGGGACAGCCTTGGCATTAAAATGAGCTCATGGGTCAGCTTTTGCATACGTCCTGCTTATTTTTCTGTAAAATTCTACAAATTCTATCCACCAGCAGTTCTGTTTGCATGTAAGCAGGTGGGAGCAGTCCCTAAAAGATCCCACATTAGTGGAGGTGTCTTGGATTCAGCAGCATCCTGTGAAATCAGGGTTTGTGATTATTAATGATTGTGGATCAGAGCTGCGAGGGCTAACTTTTCATATGTTAAAACAGGACCTTTCCCATGTGCATATTTTGTGGAATGTATTTATAGATGGGGCAAAGTTAAAAATGGGATAAAGTGCTTTGAGATTATAGAAATTAACAACAAAAAATGCCTTGAACTAACAAAGAGAAAAAAAAAAAAGGAAGGGGGGGAAATAGGGAAGGTTTTTAACATAATAACTTTTTTTTTTACCTCAAAATTTTGTTTCACATGCAACAGCTATAACTTAGAGAAAAAGACATTGAAAACTTGAATCGCCAAATTCCTCCTCACCAGACTATTCTATTAAATTATTACAGCTGGGTATTGGACCTAATCAAAATTCTGGCATGCGTGGATGGATGGATGGATGGATGGATGGATGGATGATGGAGATTGCTTTGCTCAACAGGTAGTGGAAGCATCTTTGAAAATGGCCTGTGGGCAAATTCAGTTACCATAAGCCTGTTTGACTGGTAGAGTTGGGTCAGGATGAAATCCAGTGTATTTCTGTTTCACACCTCTGGAGGCCTGATGCAACATAACTGAAAGTTTATTGTTCATTTTCATTGAAAAATTCTCAGTGAATTTTCAGCTCTGTTGGGTTACAAGTCTCTATCTCTGGAAGATGCCATGACCCCAACCATAATTAAAGCTAATGGTTCAGCACTTCAGGCCATGCTCCCTCTCACCCATCCTGGCCCACTAAGGACTCGCAGAGAAGCATAGTACACAGAAAAACCTCTCTGTACCAATTTCTGTGCTTCTCCCTGGCTAAAATTCTGGTGGCAGTCTTCTAGAACCTTGTCTGATGCCATCATGGGCAGATGTGAAATAAGAAGTCCTGATAAAAAGGCCTTTGGACATGAGCAAATGTGAGCAGCCAGATGCAAATAACAGACAGGCTGTGTGGGGGCAGTTGTGCTTTGCATTAAAACCTCCACTGTGGGCTGTAACTCCATCATACCCTGGTGTGCCTACTGGGAGGGGCTGTCCACTCAACATCCCCCAAGACACAAGGACAGGGGGCTGTGGGCTTTGTTTGAAGGAGCCCGGGTGGCTTGTGTTTCCCTCCTAGCACTGGTGCAACAAGGGCAAAGACTCTGAATGTGTGGGAAGGGAAAGCTAGAGGGGGTCAGTCTGCTGGGTGTATTAGCCTATATTTGCTGGAAGTACTTACATTAGGTTTGTCCTCTGCCCAGTCCACTATTTTCCCCAACTCTGTCAGAACGTGATCTCTTTGAGACCTTATAGTGCTCCATCAGACTTAGTTGAAATTGCCCAAAGAATTCAAAATATATGGGGGAGGGCAGATGCATAGGCACACTGTCTCACACAGCATGCACGCATGCGTGCCTGCACTGCAATCATATTAATCTTGTTTCCTTAGGAAACAATCCTAAAAATAACCTGGATTTGATAATGCCTTTGGAAGGATACAAAAGCAAGGCTGCCTGGGGGGAATTAGTTGGAGAATCCCCACAGAAAATGCTCTGCCTAGCACCCTTGGTAAGGTGGCATCCCTGTCTGGAGCAGGAGCTGCAAGGCTGGAGGGATGGGGACCCTACTGTGGAGTCAGCACATTTATCCTGGAGGCTGCACACCATTGTGTTGAGAGAGATGGGGGGGAGCCCAGGACAGGCATGGTGAGAGAAAGATAGCAGGGAAGATGCTGGTGCTGAAGACTTGGAAAGCTGTGGAGAAACTGTCATCTGCTCCAGATGCTC